ACCTTCATAAACATAGAGGTAACCAATAGCTAGATTTAGTCTGTTATGTTGACAAGATGAAAACAACTGATGTTCTTCAAGCCGAGATTTTGGTAGAAACCCTAGCCTATGTAGAGGAATCTTCATAAGATGAAAGGAAGAAAAAAAAGTAGAAATACATAACATAGAGAAAATGAGTCATTTGACACCAAGCTTGACAAGAAGATACCAAAAAACAAATACATATATACTAAAATGATAGAACATGTGACATAGAACATGAAACTTGTGAATTGAATTAAATTAAATTAATTTCCACCACCAGCAGAGGAAGAACCACCTAGCAAATCCCCAAGCAAACCATCAAGAAAACCACCAACACCGCCGCCATCAAGCAAGCGCCTGGTTCTCATTCCCATGTTGGCTGAAACAATGCCACTCACAAGAACAAGTAACAATACCACTATTCCAACAAAACGTGATGACAAACCAGCCATTCTAACTAGGAATATGATTCTTATTCTTCAACAAGAGATAAAACGATTCGATAAATTTCCATTTCTTTATGCAACTATATATAGTGTTTAGTTTGAAATCCCCTTAAATTGTGTGTGAAGTAATTTTTTTGTTTAAAGGATCGTTCCTTCATCATTAGATTATAAGAAATGTTTTGGTAGACATTGCATGTGAATTTCCATAAACTAAGCATACTATCATATAGTATAGGACACTCAAAAATGTGTAAGAACTTCAAATTGAAGAAATGAGTTGGCAAATGATCAATCGAAAGTCAAATGGATCTCTTGCAAATTAGAGAACATTGTGTGATGATTCTAAAGGTCATTTTTGAAAAATTTCCAGAGAATTGTCGTTTTACTCCTACTGATGTTGCCCCGAGTTATTCCTGATTAGTTTGCAAAGTTGCTTTCGAAATTTGATTGATAAGTTGTGATTTTTGGGAGTTTTGTTTTTCGGAGGTCTAAACTTTGTTAAAAGTGCTTTTTTGGTAACAACCAGATCTACGAGTCTCAATATGAAATTTCGCAAGTATCATCAACTTTGAGATGGAGAATAATTTGGTCGTCTAGGACTGTTGCCATTTTCTATTTCGGAGTTTTTATGTGGATTTGAGCCCTTGAGTTAAGGTGAAAATTAAGTCAAGGATTGATTGTGGTCATCATTTGGAGTTCAGACGCTCATATCGGATTTTTGACGATTCCATTGAATTCAGGAGATAATTTTTTATCATGGTTAAATTTTCAGAGGTCCCGAGGACAGTTTGGTATTTTGAGTGTAAATTTATGTTTATTGTGACTTTAACGGGTTTCGGGTCAAGAAGACCTCGAATCCATGTTTTGACGATTTTATTGAGTCCGATTAGTCGAGTTTAGTTGGGTATCAAATCTGATTTGTGTGATCGGAATTTTGAACAAACCTCTGAGGGTCCATTCGGTGAACTTTTGTGTCTTGGTGAGTTGTTATATGCTGATGTCTGGTGCCCCAATTGAGTGCTAATCATCACGATCACATAGCCATTGTACTTTTAGTGGCATTAAATATTGACATTAATAAAGGGTGCTAAGTCTTTACCGGCATTAGTTAAAAGTCATTAGAATCAATGTAGCCAAAGACTTTAGGGACATATACAAAGAGTGACAATTGCCGCTAAAAATACATATTTAGCGACAATTAAGAATTAAGAATTAAATGCCGCTAACGATCATTTTTGTTGTAGTGTGTGTCGCGATCTTGATGTTTAATTAATGAATTGACCAGTGGTATTCATCGGATATCAAGGCTTTGGGTCACGATCACGATGAACAAATATTACCTGAATAGAATGTTTTCAAAAGTCGGAGTTTCATCCCCATTTTACCATTTTTGAATGTTTAGAGCTTAATAAAGGATTGGCAGGTTAAAGAGCACATTTATGTATTATATCTTCAATCATACATTTCAATTCCTAATAAAGTGTTTCAATTAGTACTTCCAATTTGAATTTTATAAAACTTACGTGCATGTTTTAATTTGTCTATTAGATAATTTAAATTGAAAGAATCTAATTGAACACTTTAATATGAACTGAAATGTTCGATTGAAACATGAGTTAAATCGAATATCTAAATATAATATTTTAAAACAAGTTTAACAAGTTGATTATGTATTAAGTTGAAAAAGAACCTCTTTATACTTGATAGGCAATGAATGAAAGCACGATATCAAACGTCTTATACCACATATCCAAATAAGCACATAAATCAACTAAAATAGAAAATTGATGTTGGTAATTTTAAGAGAAACCAAAGTTAGAATATCAAGTTGAAGGTACAAACTTTGTACTTTTCAAAAGGAGGTTATTTACATGCATATAGATGATTTATGCAAAAAAAATTCTGAAAACATATGCATGCACTTAAAGTTATTTGGTATAATACATAATATGTCTTTTAACTTAGTTTTAAATTATAGTTATGCCCTTCAACTTTGAATTTGTACAAGTAGAAACTTAAACTTGTATAAAGTTGAACAAATAGACATACATGTCCTACATGTCATCCTACATGTCTTTATTTGTCATACGTGGTGTCTTACATTCATTTTGCCACGTAGGACTCATGTGTTTATTATCTAAAAGTTGGATAGTTAAAGTGTCTGTTTGTGCATTATGAAAGTTGGAGGTCAAAACTAAAATTTGAAGCTAAGTTTAGGGTCCAATATATATATTAGGAAAAATTAGTAAAGTAGTTATAATTCCTAACTTAATTATTAAAAACATCTACACTTTAAAATATTTACTCAAAATATCAAAATGTCAATATTTTTAAAAATAATTTGTAAATATTATTATTTGTCTTTCCTTTTATTTCTCAAGACAATCCAACATTAAATATATTCACTATCCATTTAGACTTCTCTAGACTTTAATATCATTAAATTTATTTCCATTTTTAAGATTTTCAATTTTTTTTCTCTTTTACCATTATCACCTTTATTGTATCTCATTGTTGAAGAACTAATTATTCAAGTTCATATCAATTTGTTCAGATCAATCGATTAATTTAAGAAATCTCTCAATACATAAAGGTATTTTCGTTATCATCTTTTATTTTGCGAGATTTCATAAGTTTTTGTTTCGAAATAAAAATTATGTTGAATTTTGGATTGTATGTGTTACAATTTTTTCGTCATTTTTTCGATTTGTATATGAGTTTGTTAACATACTCATCAAATATTTATGCATTTCAGAATTTTAGTATTTGAAACACTATTTTTATGATTATATTTTTATATTTGAGATTTAGTAGATTGTAATTTGTAGTAAGCCACATAAGCATTCATACATAATATATTGTTTGATTTTTTTTTATATATTCATTTGTAATAATTTCGAATTTTGCTTATAGGGTTATTAATTCACAATAAACACAGATTCAGATTTGAATTTGATGAAAAGAATTGAAAAAAAGAAACATAGTAGATGAAGAAAAAAGAGAGAGTCAAAGAAGAAGGTTGAAAAATTGTATACATATCAGAATAATATTCATATTAATTTTTATTAGTCAATTATTTTTCTTTTACACATCATTTGTATTTTTATTAAGAATATTGTATTTCTTTTTTACTTGTAGTCATTCACATACGTATCTTATATGAATTTGTATTTTTAAGCATAGATGTATCCTATTTTTTAACAGTCAATTTATATTTTTTTAGAATATTGTATTCTAATTATATCATTTTCACTATGTATGATATCTCATATGAATTTGTATTTCTTAAAAACATATATGTATCCTATTTTTCAACAGTTAATTTGTATTTTTTTAGAATATTGTATATTGATTATATTATTTTACTATGTATGCAATATGTTTTCCAGAATCTTGTATTCTTATTTCTTTCATAGTCAAATTGTATTTTTTTTTTTAGAATATTATATCCTTCCTCAATAAATTTATTATTTCCACCAAGTATACTATTTTCCCCAAAAAATTTTGTACTCTTTCATATATCACATTCATACATATTGAGATACGTGTATATATTATATATGGTAATCAAGTAATACAATTTTGATCACCAGAATACAATTTGTAGTTTGAAAGAAAAAATTAATTATTGGAATGGTAAAGTGAACCCATAAAATGTAAAAAATATTGGTATACAATTAAAATGAAAACATAACAAAGGAAAGTTAATCTAATAGAATTAAAAAGGAGTTTTTTTGAAATTGTTAATGATGAGAAATTTAAGTGATATGTTCCTTCTCTAAAAGCTATTATCTCACTTTTTCATCATACTACTTTTTTGTATTTTATATATTATTATACAATATTCTAAAAAAAACTAGAATAAACAGAAATACGAATAAAATACATATTGAAATAAATACGAAATATAAAATTTTCGAAGAAACAAATAAATACACATGAAAAAAATATATGAATACAAATATGTTTCTTAAATAACTATAAATTCATCTGACATACCTATTGGAATGACTAATAAAAAAACGATTAAGATTATGGAAATAAAAGAACAAAGTTTGAGTTTTATTTGAAAATATTAAGTAATCTTTACCTTTTTTTGAAATATTCTCTCTCTTGATTTTCTCGCTTTTGTTATTAAATAATTCTATTATTTAAATAAAACAAATAATAAAAACATAAATAAGATAAATAACAAATTAAATTTTTGATATTTTTATTAGATATTGAAAGTGTTACTAATAAGCCTTCTTAAATAATAAAATATTGACATTTTGAAAATTTTCTTTATGTATTATGCCTAAATTAAAAACAAAAAGAAACTCAAGTAAGATGCATGTTTTAAATCCTTATACTATAATTCCCACTCAATAATTCAGTATAACTTGTTTGCAAACCAAACGATCCCTTAGTTTTTTTGGCTCAATTGCAAGTAAGGAACTAACAATGTGGTTAAATAACACATAATCAGAAAAATCACAACAATGTCAATTTCATCACAAGCAACAAAAGAAGGAAAGCAAAACAGCTATATGCGCAATACCACCCGAAGTTTAGGTCAAAGTTATAATGATTTAGTCGGGCCCTAATACAGATTAATCAAACGCTAGGTGACGAATAAAAATAAACTTATCTACAATCTTCATTTCTACGATTAGAGTCGCTTCAATTGTAAAACCCAAGTTCTTTTTTTAAAATCTCATAATCTTATATCAAACACGCAAACCTTGTTGTTTGCAAAACAAGTTGCAATCTTGTTGCCTTCCTTGTTCCAACACACTTCATAAATATTGTCATCCCCGGTGTAAGTTTTTACAATATTGCCCTCCTTCACTGACCATATATGCATGCATTTATCAGCTGATCCACTTGCCAAGTATTTCCCGTTCGGACTAAATGCAACAGAGAAAACAGGTCCTCTAAATTCAAAATGGAAGATAATATACTTAGTAAAAAGACAAAAACAATCAACAAAAACGATACAAACACTTAATGATCTAAAAGAAAGATACACAATTAACTTATTCTCACTCCTCTCCTCTCACATCCCCATCCAAATAGGTATATATGTATCGATAGTTCAATTGAGTACGAGTAAACAAACCCCATAGTACTTGAGCTTGTATATAACAATTGAAAAGTGAAATTCTATTAGAGTGCCTTAATATCCAGTGTCTAAGTAGGCATAATGAGTTCATATTTATTACCTGTGACGGTTCAAGCTTTGAAGAAGACGCCCTTGTTTAACATTCCATATTTTCACAGTAGCGTCAAATGAACCACTACATAGAGAATAAAACAAAACCAATAAGCTCAAAGAAACAAAAAGGTTAGGTGCAACACATTAATCAACACACACCAAAAATCTATTTTCTAGACTGTTATATTAAAACTTTATCTCCCAATCTCAATCGCCTTCCAAGATAAAACAACAAATCAAGCCGGGGCTAGAAACATGACTAGTAGCAATAGATAGAATACCTTGCTAGTAACAACGGTTGATTTGGATTGCTTGTACCAGCGCCAGTTGGACTCCATTTGATGGTATATGTAATCTAAAAGGACATAATAGCAGCAGGTGATGTCTGATTTTATTAAATGAATCAACTAAGACCATAAATAAAGAACAAAAATAGAAATAATTATATTATATGTGATACTTCGGAATGTTCTCTGAAATCATGCAAGCAAACATCTTGTTTCATGCTCCATATCTGTATAAAAAAGCAATGACTTATTTTATACAACATAGTTCCTTGGAAACAACACACATAAAGTCCTAGCGCGGAAAAAATGAAGCTAAAATTCAACATATGCAAATCTCAGAGGGCCAGTGGCACACTACACCACCTCTACCTGATACGGAATTACCTTAACTGTGGCATCGTCAGAGCATGAAGCAAGCAAGGAACCTGAGGGATCCCAGTTGACAGCGTTGACATCATTCTGTAATGGCGAAGTTAATAACTCTTTAAGAATATATTCACAAAGGAAATTAAGTTTACACTTTGGACATAAAATGTTTCGAACTGGAATCGTTATGAAATGGTATCACACCTCATGTCCCGAGAATCTTTTGACTGGTCTATTCTCCCCAACTTTACAAATGTAAATCATGCCACCAGTGAGGCTGACCGCAAAAGAATCGTTGTTTTGCCAATCAACATCAATTACAACTGAATGGGGTTGTAAAACAACAGTGAGAATAAATGCAAAACAAAACAAAATCTATCAGGTAAAATATAGACAGATCGAGCAAGGGAAACAAAACACCTGAAGGAAATTCAAATTGCTGCTTCGGTTTGCCAGAAATCACATTCCAAACAACTGCAGTTCTATCAACACTACCGCTAAGTAGATAATCACCCATCTTGTTCCACTTCAAACCGAAGATTGGACAACTATGATTGTCAAGATTTTTAACCAATTCCCCTGAATGAAAAGTAAGTTACATGATTATCAGTAAGAGAAAAACAGACACGCACATTTGAACAACAATGAGAAGGATTCAACATCATTGAATAGATTCAACATGACGAAAAGCTTATCAACAAGTAAATGGATTGTTTCTTGGTGCCTTTTAGTTTCAATCAGATAAACATGAATACATGAAAATAATCCAAATAACAAACGTATTTTCGGAACCATACTTTTCCAAAGGCCAATTTATACATTCAATCTTCAAAATAAGTTTTTGCCTTACCATATCGGTTCCACATTCTGACTTTTCCTTCATGACTACCTGTTGCAAGCAGGGTACCCTCACTCTGTACAAGAAAAAAGTCATCGATACAAGATTGAATATTCACAAGAAAATCAAATTGGTGAAAGTATAGATCAACGAAAATGAGCAGTAGAACACTCACATTCCAATTGAGTGTTGTAACAAGATCGTCGGTCTCATTTGTTTGACTTTCCAGAGACTTCAAAACCAAAACATTTGGAGCTCTCCTTCGGATAGTAGAATTACATGGACCATCTCCAATAGTCCAAATTCTAGCAGTACAGTCTCTCGACCTAAAATGATATTACACATACGAGAGATGTTTCCTTAGACAAGTCTAAAACTACTTTTAACTAAGGAAAATCACTTCAAAGAATTTGACCACATAAAACATATTGGAAAGTAGAAGCAGAAGTATGAATATGAATAAGAGTTGATTCATAGACGAGAGCAACAAACGAAAAAAATGGAACTAATGCTTACGCAGATGCAAGAAGAGACCCTTCTGGACTCCAAGCACAGCTAAAAACCTGACATGAGTTTAGAAACAATTGTAATTTTCATAGAGAAGACAGTTAACAAATGATACTTAGCATTTTTGCCTATTATGAATCGTGGCGGTCAAACCTCTGACGTATGTCCTTCCAAAACCATTAAATCAGAACTCGGAAATTCATATGGGGTTGAGTCTTTGTTGATATCCATAGGCTCCGAATCTATCTTGCAACAAAAGACAAAATTAGTGTCACAACAAAAGATGTGTACAAATATTAGCTGCATGCTCAAAAAAATTATGTATTTATAATGCTTATATGAGTAGTAAATTATCTGCAATGGGAATGATTATATACTACCGTACTAGTGGCGAATTTAGGATTTTTGTTCACTAGATGTTGTTCGATTTATATACTCATATTTCAAGAAATAACATAGATAAACGATTCTGCGGGGAGGTTAACTGGTGCTCCAGTGGCGCTGTCAGAAATTTTATTGAGGGTGTCCAAGAAAGCCAGAAACTTTATTAAGGGTGTCCAAGAATAATGATGTGTGACTGTCAAAATAAAATAAAATAAAATAAATATTGTGCTATTTGGGGTTCGAACATGAAATTTCTTCATTCAAATGGAAATCGATTACCACTGAACCAAAGACATAGCTTTTGTCAAGGGTGTCCAACTTTAAATATAGAATTTGGCATATATATTTACAACGTAGTTTTCAGATGAAGGGTGTACTAGTTAACCCTAGGGTGGCTATAGCTACGTCACTGTGGTGCTCGAGCACCCAATAAGTTGTATGTATCTCTTAACTGTAACATAAGTGTCTTCACCATTGCAAGTATGCCTATTCTAGCTATTTAAAGTTATTGATGTAATGTATTTTCAAACAGAATAATATTCCAACTATTATTTTTAATACTTTCTTCCACACTCTACTTTCATCATACTACTTCCCCAGACTCCACTTGTGAGATAACATCGAGTATTCTTTTGTCATATTCTTTGATGATCAACAATTAGATTCCTTATTTAAATAACCAGACTAGCCAACTTCTCTGTTATTCGTCATTCTTTTTAATCATTAAAGTATATTACCTTCACCACTGTTATATTCCTGCTATGCATTATTGTTGCAAAAATATCATGGATTAACTAGCACACAATCACAAATAAAGAAAATAGAGAAGAAGAATAACACGAGGATGTAATGAGATTCAGCTGGACCTACTCCTCTCAGCAAATTTTCAACTGTGAAAAAAAAGATGAAGCTTACAATTCGTTCAAGCCCTTAGGAATACATCGTGTATCATGTACAATGCTTTAAAATCCACAACCTTCTCTCTTTTTCCCTCGGCTCAATTTTTCCATTTCTTACATGAGTATAAGCAGAACAACCAAATATTGTCAAATTTGAATAATCAACAGCGAATCGGGCAAAACTTCAAAAGGAGTTTTAAGCTCAATAGGAATAGATGAGGATCTATTGACCAAATAACAAGTTGTATTAATTTCTTCATCCCAAAAGTCTTGCTAACACATGAGTATGAAAGCATACGTCGTGTTCTATCACTAAGTGTTCTGTTCGTACGTTCTGCAACACTATTTTATTGTGGTGTTCCAACAAAAGTGTGGTGTCTCTCTATGCCTTCTCTGTTGCAAAAGTTATTGAACTTTAAGTTGCCAAATTCAACCTATTTTCAGTTCAGAAGTTATAAAGTACCTTGAACCAATTTTGGAGGGAATTTTGTTTGGACTCCACAAGTTCGAATGTATATAATCTAACTTGTCTTTGCTATTGTTTATAGCCTTCCTGCTGAATTTCACCGTGTTTTCTTACCAAACACACAATGCTTAAAGCTTGATTTTTGTAACCATCCAACAAATTTTTCTTGTTCAACAAAGACAATCCATTGTTACTCATATGATCAAGTCGCACGTGCCGCAATTGAGACTGATTCAAGTTACTCTTCCCAGAAGCTACAATTTCTTCCATTACAACTACACAAGCTTGTAGATAATACAATATAAAATGCAGCTTATACCCTTAATGAGTATCATGGAGCATTTACATACTTTAAGCATTTCATTCTCTGATTTCAACTTATACCCTTGCTCATCCAAAGTCAAAAGAGAAATCAAATATCTCTTAATTCAAGGAACATGCTAACACTTAATATTTCTGATAATTCCATCAAACATTCTCAATTTGATATTACTAATCCACTCTACCTCTAACGGATTATCATCACCAAGGTAGACGATTTATTCGAATGTTTGTAAGTTGCAAACTAATTCTTGTGATGACATATGTGAAAAGTTGCACCGGAATCAAGAACCCAATAACTCTGTCTATGATCAGAGCTCACATCACAAACTTCCCCTACATAGTCATTGTCATCCAAATTATTTCCACTGTCAACAATATTTGAAAAGAACATAACACACTTAAGACCTTATCCTCACTTTCAATTTTGATATCTACATTCTTCAAGTCCATTATAATTGAATTAAACTCATCAAGGTAAGTTTTGATCGGTGTGCCTCATTCATACGGATATTGTCTAACCTGATTTTTAAGTAGAGGTGGTTTGTGAGTGATTTCTTAGAGTACAGATCTTCTAACTTCTTCCATGCCGTTGCTGCAGATTTTCCTTTATCAATTTCCTGAAGAACTTAATTTGTAACGCTCATGAATATCGCACTCAAACCCTCTCCGTCAGGTCTTGTTGTTATTATTCTTTCAACTCTTTTGGAACTCCTACTCAATTTCCTTCCACAATCCTTGTAAAACTAAAGAAAATCTCATTCGAATCTTCCATAGACTGAATTATGACCCCCATCAAATTTCTCTATTTCTGTAACACCCGGTATATTATTAAGTCAAACTAGAGTGTCATAGAGTCTTGTAGTGGACTTCTGGAGTGTTGTATGAGGGTTAAAATCAAGATAAATGATTCCCATACTTAGAACAACATTTTTAGGGGTTAAATGTCTGGGTACGACTCCCCAAGGACCACCTATGGGGGGGGGGGTTCTTTGAGGAGGACCCCAAAAACAGTCCCCAAAACTGTCAATTTTGTGACCTATGGTTGCAATTTCAATAGATCAACCTATGCCCCATAGGCCAGGCATGAGTTGTCATGCAAAATATGAGTCTCAGGTCCAAACCACGGACAGTATATCAATCTACGGTCCGTAGATGGCCAAGTCATTAGTTAGGTGTTAATATATGTCTGTTAATAGGTTATTTAACCACCTACATAAGCTTAAATAAACCCTAAACTAATCAATCGAACTCATACATCTAAAGCCCAAAAAACTCTCTAGAAAATCATCTCTCTAGAATAGAAGAAGAAGAAGAAGAAGAAGAAGAAGAAGAAGAAGAAGAAGAAGAAGAGAAGAGATAAGGGCAGAAGCTAGGGACGAATTTACCAAGCATTCAAGCCTTCTTTAAGGCATTGGTCAAAGGTATATGAAGATTATTCATACATGGGTTCTTCCACCCACGGATCCACCATAGTTTCCCCCAGATGTAAACTCAAAACCCAATTCTAGCTAGGGTTGTGATTGCATTATGGGTAGGGCTTGAATATGACTCCAACCTAGTGGTAACATTTAATTATGTTCGAATTAGCTTTGTTTAATGATTAGATGATGATTTTATGTGAATTCCATGACGAACCCTAATCTAAGTTGATGAAGGTGATCTTTGTGTGTTTGTGCCAATGGAGGCAATGTTGAAGGATCAAAACTAATCTTCCCATTTCAGTGTCTTGGTTGTTAATTGATCAAAGTTAAGATCATCTAAATATGAAATGAGCTAGACTATTGAATAGGAAGTATCTTGACTTATAAAGTTAGAATTGAACCTTTATGATCAATTGAGAATAGAATCAGTTAGTATGGAAGACGTGACTAAATTACCTTGAAATCTAGGTATAAAGAAGAGATTAAAAAGAAACTTTAAGAGTACAGTTTGTGATCATGATAGCTAGGCATTTAGGGTGAGTCTAATATGATTACCTAGTGATGCTAAGGCTTTGAGAGTACAGTCTAAAAGAGAATAGATGTCTAATAGGTTGGATTGTGGTGAAAGGCCTATACTAATCTAACATAACTTAGGAATGCTTGCAAAAAAAAATCACTTGAATATGGATTGATTGTCAAGGACATCCTTCCATGAGAGATAAGTGTTAAGCAAGGCTTAACAAGTAAATAATGGGGTATATGCTCGGCTCCAAGTGGATATTGACAATGAAATGGAGTGTCACACAAGATAGGGTCCGAACTCCAAGAAAAGAGAAGAGCCACACCTAGTTGATGTGAGGACTATCCAAGTTAAAGGGGAAACTCTTACGTAATAGAGTGTGGGTTTTCCCAAAGTTAGGCCTCATAATATGGGATCCTTCACATAGTTGGGTCAAGGTTCCTAGTAGAGATCTCCATATCCTATGAAGTAAGACATAGCATACTGGACTAAGACTTACTTAATGAAGTAACTCCTATTGTTCAAGAGTGTAGATGAACTTAGACATACTAAAACTGGTATCTCATAGTGTTCACGAGTATAGATGGATATAGACAAGCTTAAGATAGTATCTCATAGGGTCCACGTGAAGAAGAAACTTAGACATATTAAAAGAAGTATCTCTTAGGGTTCAACGTAATAATAAACTAAGATGTGCTTGAGAGTGAGTACCTCATAGGGTTCTAAAGCTAAAGATAGGAACTAGGTTCCAAACTAAGAAGTACTAGTAAGAAGACATAAAAGTAATACTTAGCATGATTAATATTATGGGATTCTATGTTTGCATTACACAAAGTATGACTTAGGGTCACTAAAGAGGAGTTGTGAGATAAGATTGTGCTATAGTTGCCCTTCCTAGT